AAATTCCAACATCTGCCATGGTGAGATTCAAACCCAGGTCCCCAAAACATTCGCTGGGTAGCTGAGTTAACAGTCCAGCAATAATACCACTAGGCCTCTCCAGCATTTTTACCAACCTTTTCCCATCCACAATCAGTTCTGAGGAAGGGTCACTGGACCTGAACGTTAAGTCTGCTTTCTCTCCACAGATGCTGCCAGACCTGCTGAGTTTCCCCGGCTACTTCTGTTTTTGTGTCATCGACCTCCCTCCACCCCACTGCCCTAACCCACAACCTGCTTCCTGGCTGCACTGCTGAGCTAGCAGCTCTTCACTTCAAAACTGGAGAAGCACTGAACAGTGTCTGACAGCCGGAGATGCCCTCTCCCACCCTTCCCCACAATGGCAGCCTGTCGCTTCTTCAGTGCCGGCTGCCTCCTATAGGCCCAACGAGAGCCTATCGGCTGGGCACAACTGGGCACAGGGCCTGTTCTCTAGCGTCTGATTGGGCAGTCCAGAGAGAATCGAAAGCAGGGCTGCCTCTCCTCGTGAGGTGTAAGGTTGGGACATGTATTTGAGGTCAACATCAGCACCCATCCCCAAAAGGAACGTCCTGCCCTGCATCCTGTAAAACACCTCCACAAAAATAGAAAGGCTGCATTTAAACTCTACAAGACAAGAAACAAATTGGGTTTGGGAGGTTGTTCTTTCCTCAGATTGTGGTGAGCCTCTAATATATCATTAACCACTGCTGCAAGAACACAAACATTTGGAGCAGCAGTAGTTCCTTTGTCCTTTTGAGCTTGCTCCACCATTCAATAAAATCACAGCTGATCTGATTGTTACTTCAACTCTACGTTTCTGCCTGCCATACTTTAACTCCCTTGTCAATCTAAAATCTATCTAAAACAGCCTTGATTAAGTGCACCGCGGTTCATCAGGGAAAAGAATTCCACAGAATAACAAACTTTCTCTTCTTAAATTGGAGATCCCTATTTTTGCATCCCCTAGTTTAAGATTTACCCCAAGCAGGGAAGCATCCTTGTAATATCCACTCTGTCAAGACACTTAACACTGAAACTCCCTCTCCTAGGAAGCTGTGGATACTGGGGGTCAATTTAATATGCTGGAACCAATGAAGAATAAGGACTTAAAGGATATGGGCCATGAGCTAGTAAGATGGTGGGAAAGGCTTGAGGGGCTGAATGGCCTCGCCCTAATGAGAAAGGTTTTGCTAAAAAGCCTGATGTGAAAATAAACATCAGTCCAATCTTTCGAAATGAGCCCAAAAACCTTTATCTGAGCAGGTCATTAATGAATGATTGCTAAGCACCACAAATATAATCAGAATGTGAATCTGCATTGGTTCATCAGTTTAAGCTTCCCATTGAAGCCAAATAAAATATTTGAAAATGATCTTTGCTTTGTCCATTTAATTCCAAAGGGCTTTCTGTGACATTGAATAATGTTACAGTACAGTAGCCAAAGGACACAGCAACAGTGTAATGGATACCAAGCAAAAGTCTGATGTACTTTGTGCCTGTACCTGAATCTAATGGATGATAATTGCTTATTTATGGAAGTCCTCATGATTGCAGAGCTATTATCTGAGCTCAGTGTATGTGTTCCAATGCACAATTTCACATAACAATGATTAAATGGCCCGATCAGCAGTAAATGTCACCGCACATCGCCTTTTCTGTTTACTAATTCACTGTTTTCTTCCTGAACACCACTGCCATTTTACCTGCATCATTTTGAACATTCAAAGCCATGGGAATGTTCTGAGGAAGGTGTTTAAAGTCGATTCTGGAGTCACTTCAGGACTCTCCTCCCTCTATCCCTGTAACCTCCTTCAGTCTGACAACCCTCTGAGGTGTCTGCAGACCCCAAATTCTGCCCTCTTCCCTATCATTCCCCGGGGCCTCACCACTCCAACCTTACATAACTTTACTCAGCCTAAGCTCTGACGTGCCTTCCCCAACCCTCTCCTTTAAGATGTTCTAAAACCTTTCTTAATGTCCCCTAAAACACTCACTTGTCAACTGCTGCTTTTTTGAAGCTCCTTGGGTCCTTTTACTGCTGTTGGAGGGGCTATACAAATGCAAGTTGCTGTTGCAGCTTTATTACACTGAAAGGATACCCGCAAAGCTGAACTTAAATTTTTGCGGCTGAGGACTGAGGGATGCCAGGTGACCGGAAGCCCCTTTAACACCAGCCCTTGCTTGCAGTGAGTTCGCTCAGCAGCTTCCCCCACTGAGTCAAAGAGGAAGATAACACCTAGTTTTAACATGGGACAGGCTTCTCCAGCAGCTTCAAGACTAAACTACACAGAAGCGAGCTGACTCCAAAAGAACCAGGAACTCCATCTCGATGAGGGGCACAGCCATTGAGGTGGGAAGCAATTCAAAGGGAATGGAAATTGATGAAAAAAGAGAACAGAAACAGAAAGCAAAGTATAGCAGATGCTGGAAATCTGAAATAAAAAAAAACAGGAAGAGCTGGATAAATTTAGCAGGTCTGGCAGCATCTGCGCAGAGGAAAACAGAGTCAATGTTTCCAGTCCGATATAATTCTTGAATTCTGCAAATGTCATATTGGACTGTAAATATTAACTGTTTCTCTCTCTTAGATTAAAGAGAATTAACATGTCAATGCTATTACCAGGCAGACAACTCCCAACGCCCCATCTCTATTGATGCTGCTTTATCTGCTAAGTGTTTGCAGCGCTTTCAGTTTGAATTTCAGATTTCTAGCATCTGCATTAATTTCCTTTTGTTAAGAGGGAGGACGTTTCTTCCTACAACTAATTCCATAGCCCAGAGCCTATGAGAGTACATCATTCAGGTATCTGTAGTGAATACTTGCACTAAATGTCAGATTTTTGCTGTCTCTGGGATTTCTATTGTTATTTCATGGGATCAGGGCATAGTTGGGTAGACCAGCATTTGTTCCCCATACCTAACTGCCCTAGAGAATGGATGGTGAGTTGCCTTCATGAACTACTGTAGGCCATGTGGTGCAGGTACACCCATGGCGCTGCTGGAAAGACAGGCCCAGGATTCTTTCCCAGTGAAGGAATGGTGATATATTTCCAAGTCAGGATGGTGAATGACTGGAAGGAGTACATGCAGGTGATAGCATCCTCATGCATCTGCTGCCCTTGTTCTTTCAGGTAGTACAGGTTGCAAATTTGGAAGGTGCTTCGGAATCTTGGTGAGTTACTTCTGTACATCTTGTACAAGAGACACATTACTGCCAGCGTGTCAGTGGTAAAGGAAGGTGGTGGATGTGGTGCCAGTTATGGAGGTTGCTTTGTTCTGGATGGTGTCAAGCCTCTTAAGTGTTGGTGGAAATGCATCATCCATTGTTGGCAAAGCCAGCATTTGTAGCCCATCTCTTTTGGGCTGTGGTGTTCCAAGCATCTTCTGCCCTCGTCCTTCTAGACGGTAAAGGATCTACCTTAGGATCTTGGTGAGTTGTTGTAGTGCATCTTCTAGCTGGTTGAACTGCTGCCTCTGTGCGTTGAAGTTGTAGGAGTGGATGGAGTGCGGATTGAGTGCTGCTTTGTCTTTTGTTTTGGGCAAAATGTTAAATGGAAGGAGATTTTATAGATGAGGTACAGTTTGTGATGTTGTCACTGTATGTACTCGTGTAGAAGTTGAGTTTCTGAGACCTCCTTTTTAGCCAAATAAGTAGGGGAGTGACTTCCATAGGAGTAATACTTTAGAGAAATTGAAATCTACCCTCTTATGTCTTCTTACTGCATTACAGGTTATGAGATTTGATCAGCTAATTGCAGACATGCTGATATCCCCCCCTCAAACAAAAAAGCACCAAAAAAAGCTAGAAAGTATCTCTGTTAATCTGCATGGACACAAGGAACTGAAAGGCTGCCTTCAAATGAGTGAGTTTGCACCAGAATGCATTTGATTTCAGTGGTGAGTAGATGTTAGGACCATTAGGAACAGGAATAGACCTTTCTGCCCATTGAGTCTGCTCTGCCATTCAATGAGATCATGGCTGATCTGATTATACTCAACTCCACTTTCCTGCCTTTGCCCCATAATCCTTGATTCCCTCACTGATTAAAAATCAGTGTCTTAAAAATCAGGCTATCTCAGCCTTATACTTAATGACAAAGTGTTTGAATTTTTTGGCTAAAGGTCTGGGGTCAACTTATATGCAAGGAATATGGTAAACAAAAGAATGTTCTGGCCGAAAATTGGGTGTTGACTCCTACATGAAAGTGACTATTTCCTTAGTATGTACGGTAAATGTACATGGCCTATGGTGGAATAGACTTGAGAGGCTGATGTCCTTTTCTCATTCCACACTTCCCCTCTCTTTGCTCAGCTAGGAATCAGGGATCTTCTCATTTCATTTTTGAATGTTTCAGTGACATCAAGGTTTCTGGTGACAGCTGGCACTAATGTGACAGAGGAGAGTAGGGTCAGCCAGCGAAACTGGATGGCTCAGTAGGAACTTTTCAAAACATGGCAACTCCCAACTAACATTCGCCTTAAAATCACTGCTTGGCTGTTTGCTGGCATCCATTTTATAGCTTTTGAAAACACTTTTTGTGCTCAGTAACTCCCTGGTCTATGGTCACATAAGCCTGGTTACACACGAGGATGTCTGAGGTTAAAATACAGCAGGAAGGTGGAACTCACAAGGAAACCTGTCTGGATCTGAATCAAACCTCCTGAAAGACTCCTTCCCCTATAGTATCGGGGCCAAATCAAATTTGAAAAGCAAATTGATTCCTTTTGCGTGCACTCTGCTCTGTCTCAGCTAGTTTGGGAGGTACTCCACCCAAGGGCATTTACAAATAAAGCAGGTGATGTGACGTAAGCCTGTGCCACACTCATGCTCCGAATACAGAGGGGCTGTATGATTGTTGTACACATGCCATCGGTACTTGCTCTTTGCCAGATGCTCCTTGGCAAGGAAACCTTTTCACACAGACCATCGACAACAGCAGGAGGACATGAAATATGACTCACTTTGAGTCTCAACTCACCTCCTTAGCCTTGCTGCTCTTCCTTATGGTTTGATGAGTCACATGATTGACAGTCCACGGACCGAGTGATTGGTTGGCGTAGAAATCCATCGGGTATTGATGTTGCCACTCGATCTGTTTGAGAGCCACTGCCGCCTAGACATACAGGGAGGAAACCAGAACTCACTGAAACTACAGGATACACTTGGTCACATCTTTACAGAAACAAAACTACCAGTTTATCACTCACCTAACCAGCTGTACTGGCTTAACATTCCTCTAACTAGCCATACCAGCTTATCACTCATCTGACTAGCTGTACAGGCTAGCTAACCCGTTGTACTGTATTCAGTCTCTTTCCCCTTGGCTGATTCAGATAGTTTCTAATCAACCTGTTCAGAGATGTTATTACACACCCTCTGCAGCAGGTGAGATTTGAACCCAGGCCTCCTGGCTCAGAAGCAGGGACACTACCACTGCACCATGAAGGCCTGACTCTTGGCTGATTCATTATTTTGCCTCCAACTGTCCCTGGATGAAGGGAAAGTTGGGTAAGATGACCCGCTCCTCTATCAATAATTACCTCCTCCCAGACATCCAATGGTTACCTTGTCTTATCTTTTCACTGGATGTGTGTCATTGGGCATTTATTGTCCACCTCAAATTGTCTTGGAAACAGTGGGGGGTGGGGGGAGAGGGGTAGGGGTGGGAGTAAGGGTGGAGGGGTGGGTGATTGAGCTGCCTTCTTGAACCGTTGCAACCCGTGTGGTGTAGGGACACCCAGAGTGGTGTATGGAAGTCATCTGCAGGATTTTGACAATATATTTCCAAAGTGAGGATGGTGTGTAGCTCAGTGGGAAGCTCAGTGCTCCGGGACCTCCAATAATGGAGTTCTCTCTTAAAATTGCGAGGGCTTCCTAAAAGCTGAGAAAAACGTAGAACTTGGATCTTTTAACCCTGAAGTCTTCAGCTCAAGCTGCTTTCACACAGTGAAGCAGACATCCTTGGCCTTATGGGGTTGGGGGGAGTCTCTATTTTTTGTTACATTTTTGGCCCAGTTATCAGTTGAAAAATGGCTGCCCCTTTGTGCTGGAGACTGACAGTGATGAGAGACTATGAGTCTGGTGTTGGTGCCATGGATTTATGCAATTTATCTGAGTGGATCAGGACTCCCTGTGTGACCTTTACTCTTAAGCAGTGCAGACAGTAGATAAAATGAATGAATCTGGTCTGGTGGCTGCTCTCTCTCTCTCTCTCGCTCACAGATAGCCTTATCCTGAATAATTGATATAATTAATCTTTTTATTTCATTTCCTCTCTGTGTGCAGTTAAAGCTTAATTATCAATTGTTTGCTGCAAATTACAATTGCATTATTTCCCCCACATTATTTAGCAATCGATGCTCTGTTTGTTGATTGATGTCCTGAAGCTGCATTGCACTCAATCTTTTTTTTAATATTTGTTTACTTCTAAGTGACTTTCTTAAAAAATCTGCAATTCTTTTCCTCTCTTTGTCAAATCCCTGTTGAATGTGCCGTGACCCTGTTCTTACATGTTGTGCTGTCAGCTTCACTTCACTGGAGGTCATAGTAGAGGATGGTGAAGAGGATTTGGGAGTGGGAGGGCATGGTGGGAGGGAAGGATTAATCCGCTCAGATTTGGGTTGCCAGGAATCCCCTAAAATTAGAAGATGAACCTGATAGCTCCACAGAGGCCGGTATCCTGTCACCAAGTCACCCTTTATTTACACGTGGAGAGTCCCTGACACTGATCCAGCACCCTCAGAGCCAGCTCTCAGGGTGAATAGGATGTGTGATATCCCTGTTCTTATAGAATCCCTACAGTGTGGAAGCAGGCCATTTGGTCTATCAGGTCCACAGTGACCGTACAGCATCCCACCCACACACACCCCCATACTCTATCGCTGTAACCCTGCATTTCCCATGGCCAATCCACCCTAACCTGCACACCTTTGGACTGTAGGAGAAAACCAGAGCACCTTGAGGAAACCCACACAGACAATGGGAGAATGTGCAAACTCCACACAGACAGCCTCCCGAAGCTAGAATCTGTCAGCCAGGGCTCCCTAATTGGATCAGATCTCATTATTATCACTACAGAACCTCCAGAAGCAAGTCAATTCAAAGATTTCAGTCTGAATAAAACTCACACAAAATACTCTTCAAACTCTATTGTTCACGTGATAGAAATACCAAAAGTGGAGACGCAAAAGGCTTATTGGTTTACAATCAAGAATCATCCAAAAAGAAATTAAAGAATATTTATTTTCCAATTGGACAGGGAAGGTAGGACACTCGAGGTGAGTCCTGGGGAAGTTAATAGTGGGTCAGGATCTGGGACTGCATAAAACTAATGTAAGTAAAACATTGGTAATGAGGACATTAATGGAATTAAAGAATGATAAATCCACAGGACCTGATAGTTTCCTTCCAAGGGTGTTAAAGGAAGTAGGGAGCACAATGAAGACACCCAACCTATAATCTTTCAGATACAGGAGTCAGCCTCTGGGTGAGAAAATTGCAATGCCCCTCTGCTTTTTAAGAAGGATGAAAGAGAATCACCAGGGAACTACAGACCAGTTGGGCTAACATCTGCGGTGGGGATATTATTGGAGTCTATAATCAAGGATAGGGTAACTGAACACTTTGAAAATTTTCAATTAATCAGCATGGATTCATGACAGGTAGGTCACATCTGACAAAACTCATTGAATTTTTTGTAAAAGTGACTAGGATAATGGACAGGGGAATATCTATTGAAGTTATTTATATAGACTTCCAGAAGGCATTTGATAAAGTCCCACAAAGAGACTGTCAATTAAAATACAGGTCTGTGGAATTAAGGGCAAATTACTGAGGGTGGTAGATGTTTGGAACTCTCTTCCATAAACAGCAGTTGATGCTAGATCAATTGCTAATTTTAAATCTAAGATAGATGGATTTTTGTTAAGTAAAGGTCTTATGGGATCTGGGCCAAATGCAGGTATGTGTAGTTAGGCCATAGATCAGCCATAATCTCATTGAACAGCAGAGCAGGCTTGAGGGGTTGAATGGCCTACTCCTGTTACTATGTTCCTATGTTAACCACTATATCTACTTTTCCATGCACACCAAGGTCCCTCTGATCCTCGGTGCTTCCCAGGGTCCTACCATTCATCATGTATTCCCTTGCCTTGTTTGCTCTGCCCAAGTGCATCACGTCACATTTATCCAGATTAAATTCTATTTGCCACTGATCAGCCCATCTGACGAGCCCATCTATATCCTTCTGTAGTCTAAGGCTATCCTCTTTACTATTTACTACTGATTTTCACATCATCTGTGAACTTACCAATCTATACTCAAGTCTAAAATGTTTATATATACCACAAACAGCAAGGACCCCAACACTGATCCCTGCAGAATTCCACTGGACATAGGCTTCCAGTCACAAGCACATCCATCGACTATCACCCTCTGCTTCCCGCCACTCAGCCAATTCTAGATCCAATTTGCCGAATTTCCTTCGATCCCAAGGCTCTTGCTATGAGTCTCCCATGCAGGACTGTATCAAAAGTCTTGCTGAAATCTAAGCAGACTATGTCAAAAGCATTGCCCTTATCCACACACCTCGTTACCACTTTGAAAAATTCAATCAAGTTGATCAACATGATCTCTCCTTCAAAAAGTCTGTTCTTGATTAGCCCCTGCCTCTCCAAATGCAGATTAATACTGTCCCTCAGGATTGTTTCCAACAGTTTACCCACCGCTGAGGTTAGACTGACTAGCCTGTAGTTTCCTAATTTCTCCTTTGCTCTCTTCAAGAATAATGGTACTGCATTGGCTATCCTCCAGTTCTCTGGCACCTCTCCTGTGGCCAGACAGGAATTAAAAATCATTGCCGGCATCCTTGCTATTTCCTCCCCTTGCCTCACTCAACAGACTGGGATACATTTCAGATGGTCCTGGAGATTTATCTACTTTCAAACCTGCCAGACTACTCAGAACATGCTCTCTGTGCTAATTTCTTCAAGTACATCACAATCCTTCTCCCTGACATTTTTTACCCATATCATTCCGCTCACTAGAGAGCAGTGACACAAGGTATTCATTTAGAACTCTACCTATGTCCTCTGCTTCCACACACAAATTATCACAGTGCTCTTTAATGGGAGCTACTCTTTCCCTTTTTATCCTTTTACCCTTAACTTATTTGTAAAATAACTTCAATTTTCCTTTATGTTACCTGCCATGAATTTTTCATGCCTCCTGATTTCCCTTTTAAAGTTTCCCCTTGTATGTTCTGTACTCCACTTGGGTTTCTGCCGGTTTGACCCCTCGGTATCTGCTACATGCCTTAATTTCTTTTTTTATAAAGTTCTGTATATCCCTTGTTATCTAGGTTTTGCTGGATTTGTTAGTCCTACCCCACGTCTTTATTGGAACATGTTGGCCCTGTACTCTCCCTATTTCCTTCTTGAATACATAGTAATGCAGAGGCCAGTTTACTGCTCTGGAAACTCAGGTTCAAAACTCACAAAGACAACTGGGGGACTTTAAATACAATAAAAGATCCCAATTGTAAAGTTAGTCTCAGTAATATTGTGCATGTTATTCATAGAATCCCTACAGTGTGGAAGCAGGCCATTCTGCCCACTGATTCCACACCAACCCTCCAAACAGCATCCCACCCAGACCCACACCCCTACCCTATTCCTGTAACCCTGCGTTTCCCATGGCTAACCCACCCTAACCTACACATCCCAAGCCACTACGGGAAATTTAATATGGCCAATCCACCTAACCCCCACATCTTTGGACTGGGAGGAAACCGGAGGAAACCCATGCAGACAGTCGCCCGAGGGTGGAATCAAACCAGGTCCCTGGTGTCATGAGGCAGCAGTGTTAACTACGTAGCCACCATGCCGACCCCGATCCTATCTGATTTACCAATGTCCTTTAGGGAACGAAATCTGCTATTCTTACCTGGTCTGGCCTACATGTGACTCCAGACCCATAGCAATGTGGTTAATTCTTCACTGCTGAAGTAGCCTAGCAAACCACTCCGTAGCAGGGCAGTTAGGGATGGGCAGTAAACATCAGCCTCATCAGTGACACACGTGTCCCACAAACAAATGAAACTGGGTGGTATGTTCCCTTCCATGATACACTGGAGCAGTTGGAGTCCATTCAGTCCCTCAAGCCTGCTGTGCCATGCCAGATTATAGCTGATCATCAACCTCAACCACATTTTCCCACAGTGTCTCCGTAGCCTTTGATGTTAACATTTAGTAATCTCTCAATTTCTGCCTTGAACATACTCAATGATTGAGCTCCGACAGTGCTTTGGGATAGAGAATTCCAAAGATTCAATGCCCTCTAGGCAAGGAAATTCCTTTTCATTATTCTGAGACCCTGCCCCTAGTTCTAGATCCCACAGCTACCCTACCTGCAACTACTCTGTCCATCCTTGTAAGGATTGGTCGATTTAAATGCTGGTACAGGTCTGATGGGCCTAATGGCTTCCTTCTGTGTTCCATGATCTATAGCACCCAGCAGATGCCTCAGAACAGAATGCTGATATCCCACTATATTCCCATGGAGCAGAGTACCAATGGTCTGACTCCACCACTAGTCTGTTCATCTGGCCACTTACCTCATACGGAGTGAGCAGGGGTTTGGAAAAGGCCTTTCCCCAGTCAATGGAAAGTCTCGGACAGGCAACCTGGACCCATCTAGGGAAAGAACACAGCGGCACACACCGAGTGAAGGTCTCATCGGTAAAATACGCAAAGACAACAACAACCAAACTTGCATTTAGATAACATTGTGAACACAGTCAAACATCCCAAAACATTTCTAATAAGGGAATGAGTTACCAATTTTGAACACAAAGGCTTTATTAAGAATAATGAACTCAATCTATTAGCAATTTGCATCAATGTAGTTCTTTTAAGTTAGCAAAATTTCCCGAGGCCAATGCATAGGAGCAAGAACCAGATAAAAAATAGACACTAAGGCAAAAGAGGGGGTATTAGTACATGTGACCAAAAGCTTGACAAAAGAGGTTTTGCAGAGTCTTAAAGAGAGACAGAGAAGCGGTAATTATAGGCAGGGGATCCCAGAGCTTGGATGGCTGAAGGCATGACTGCCAATAGTGGGATACAGGAAACTAGTGATACACAGACTGAAAGAGGGCAGACAGCTCGGAAGACTGCAGGGCAGGAGAAAGTTACATGGACAGCGGACCCTCTCTGCCTATAAGAGGTGGGGGCTGAACTTTGCTGTTGCACTCCTTACACTCTCACCTCCTCCAAAATACAGCAACATCTCATGAAACAACACCCATCCTCCCAACTCCTTGAACCATCCTGTTACTGTGAGGAGGGAAGGCTGTGCGTCTAACCCCAGTTATTCCCCAGTTGGCAATGAGTGCAGGTGGGGGTTAAGTGCTGTGAATGAAGTTGGACACCTGAAATGGACATGGAATTAAGCAACGTCCTACAGACATTTTAGAGGCTAATTTAGTTATTCCTACTGTAAGACAGCTCCTGAATATTTTATATCGAGCAAAGTTACTGGCCATGAAGGTAACATACAACAACTTCCTGGTTTCCCCCAGGGCCACTGGAGTTTCTTTGATCCTTCATTTCCCAGTTTGGCATATCCTGGACGTGTTATGATCCCAGCTGATGTTATTACTGGGCATGTCAGATCACAAATTGAAATCAGGCTTGATAGATCAGATTTTGCTTTTTGTTTGGTTTTAACAACTTGGTTGCTCATTGAAACAAAAGCCGGCAATGGTGCAGATTTAGTTTTAACAATAAAACAATAGTTTACTATGCAAAGAAATTAAGAAAAATAGAATAAACCAAACCATTTATATATAACACATACTTAAAGATTTGAAATATTGTACCATTAATTTCAAAGTCATCCCTTTATAGTACTCACATCGGACAGAATTACCTTCTTGGCCCTCCTGTAAGGTTTAATTTAACTGAGGCTTCAACTCCCAGTCTTTAGAATCTGACGGCCTCTGCTTGGAGCCTTCATACAACATAGCTTATATATTTTCAGCTTCAAATAACCCTTTTAGGGCTTTATCTAAACACTTCCGGTCTGGAACTTTTACTAAACACCTTACATTGACACAACCAATATCTTTTTTTCCCTAAGCTACTGTGATATAAAAAAATCAATCCCTAACCTTTTAAACTGGAGCTGAATACACAATTATTTACTTTGTTTGCTGGTAAAATCTTCCCAATATAAACAAAAACTCATTACTCTCCAGGAATTCTCTCACACCGTGTTTTAAACTAAATCGCCATGATTACAAAAATAAGTTAATAATTAAACCCCTTCAGACATACAGAAAACTCATATGGCATTAGTCCAAAATCAAAACACCAAAATAAATTACTTTAAATTATACCTTCCATTACAGTTGTATGGGCACCTGTCCTAGTAATAGGAGCCAGAAGGAGGCAAATTATTGTTTGAGTTGTGGTGCTAATCCTATAATCTTGCGCTGGGACCATCCATTTTAGCTACAGCGAATTGGGGTGGGGGTTTGTGATCTGCGCCTTTTAGTATTTGAATTTTGAAACTTCTTTCTCTTGACTGGGGTGGGGTTCCACAAATACTCAGGGTTGGGCCTCACAAACTTGATTCTAAGTGGCCAATCAGCTGTGGAAGCGTCACCAGCCCATTCTTGCTCGCTGTCCATTCCACGTGGTTTTCACCGCAGTTTGCAATCAGGACCTGGGAGCTTCCTGATGTTGTTCTAGCCCCCATCAGCTGGACTCATCCCAACCTTTGTTCATCAGCAGTAAGACAGAAAGCCTAGCACAGTCTCAGAAACAGAACCTGCTTGATCTGATAAGTCTGGCTTAAAGTGGTGTCTTTACCATCGCCAAGGTCAATACCAGTAATCCCTTCTTTAAACAAAACTGAATGAGGAAGATCTAAGTGACAACCATTGATGCATCTGTGTACGTTGTTGCACTCTTCAACAAGCTATATTTATGTAGCGCCTTTGATGTAATAAAACAACCCCTAAGCACATCACAGAATCATTATGAAATGAAATACGACCCACAATCACTGATGGAGATATTTAATCAGAGGATCAAAAGCGTGATGAAGATATTTAAGGAGAAATGTGAGGGGCAATGAGAGAATTCCAGAGCTTGGGGCCTGCAGGCACAGCCACCAAGAGAGCAACAATTAATATTCAAGAGTTTGGATTCAGAGCTGTGTAGAGATCTGAGGGCTCAGGGCTGGAGCTGGTTACAGAGATAAGGAACAGTGAGGCTGTGGAGGCTTTTGAAACGACAATGAGAATATTAAAGTCATACTGATTATAAATACACCAGCTTGCACATCCGGGGTTTCCACTGGTTCATTGGCAAGGGCCACACCTTCAGTTGGCCAGCCAGACTTTACATTCTGGAATTCTCTCTTAAACTGCTCAAACTCTCTACTTCCTCCATCTTAAATCTATCTCTTTGTTCTAATCTGTCCTAATTAGACCATTCGTGGGACGCCATCAGATTTTGCGTGATCATGCTCCTGTGAAGCACCTTGGAATGCTTTATCATACCAAAGGCACTCTGTAAATAAATGTTATAGACAGGTTGTTGTTGTATTTAGTAACTTTTTTTGGTGAGGTCCAATTGACTGTCCCCTGTGCTTCTGTTAACTCCTTTAGTAATTTGACTGCACCCAGCCTCTTGGCCCCTTTTCACAGGCTGATCAACCTGTTGCTTTTCTTCCAGCATTTTCTATTTTCGCCTCCTTGCTGTTTCCATGCCTGGCACCATGTCAGACTGTATCTATGCAGGGTCACGCACACCAGGCTGATACAGCCTCTCAGACAAGGATCATCCAGAATAAATAAGTCAGCAGAGACAACACATTTCTGGAAAGTATGCTGCGTGAAATTATAGGGGCTTAGCTAGGCATTAATCTGCACTCTACACACGCCAGGTTCACTGGGATCATTTTTCTCCCTGGATTTGTATAAATAGGACAATTCTTTTTCTGACATAAGTGAAAAGTGACAAAAGCTCCGGTCTGTATGATGTGGTGTTACCTTGAACGTTGCCCTTGGCAACCGAGGCTTTAAGTTGCAGAATTCTACAATTAACATTGGCGTGCCTGGGTAACTGGTCACTGTTCTTGCTCTGAATCGCCTGCCCAGCTGCAAAAAGGGGGACACTGGAGGTGTCCGTTCATACAAAGCCAGGAAAAGGTTCCAAACTGAAGAATTATTTCAACATGCAAAGTGGCTAGAACTGCATTCCTGGGAGGTACAACATCAGGGTTAAGTGTTACACTTAGAGATGGTCATTGTTCTTATTGCAATATAAATGGGCTTTAGAGGAGTTTGACTGTAAATTGGAAAGAGTTGGAAAGAAAGTTGCTGCTTCTGAAGTTTCAAAAGGTTTCTCTTCTTTTGCTAAATTATTGTGATTGCTTCAAATTTGGCATTCTGCATTTATCCCGACAACAGCAAGATGCATACCTTAGGCAACACAGTTCTCTCTCCCTCTTCAGAAATATTTATTTATTCTTTCATGGGATGTGGGTTACTGACATGACTACCATTTGTTGCCCAACCCTAAATACTCTAAACTTAGTGTGTTGCTCAGCCATTTCACATTGCTGAGGGTCTGGAGTCACGTGTAGGCCAGACCAGGTAAGGACAGCAGATTTCCTTCCCTAAAAAATATTAATAAACCTTTTACAACCGTCAAGGATAGTTCCATGGTCACTCGCTCTGAGACTAGTTTACAATTCCAGATTTTTGTTAATTTGAATTTAAATCCGACCAGTTGCCGTGGTGGAATTTGAACCCATGTCCCACAACATGAGCCTGGGTTTCCAGATTACTAGTTCAGTAATGTAACCACTATGCCACTATCTTTCCCCCAAACTACTAATGTTCCAGGAGATAGGTTCAAATCCCACCATCCAGTTAGTGATAAATCTGAAATAATAAAAAACTAACCCTGGTGGTGAACATGTAATTATTGTTGATTGTTGCAATCTGGTTCACTAATGTCCTTTAGGGAAGGAAAACTGCTGTTCTTGACTGGTCTGGCCTACGTGCAACTCCAGACCTACAGCACTGAGGGACTCTTAGCTGCTCTCTGGGCAATTAGGGATGTGCAGCAAATGCTGGCCCAGCCACGCTGCCCACATTCTGTGAACAGAGAAAAGAACCTCCATATTACATGATGGCATAAAGAAAGAAAACAGACAAGGAGGTCCGTGATAGAGTAGAGGGCAGGAGAGATGAAATGACACAAGCTTTCATGGTACAACATCAAAGGGAAGTGGGAATGGGATAAGTAAAGAAACAAAAGGTTTGTCTAGACAAGGTGTGAATGACAGACTCAGTGGACAGCGAGTCATCACGTAGTGAGGTTATATTCAACTATAATCGTGACAAGACAAGGTTATAACAGACACTGGATTATAACAGACTAATTGGACACTTGGTTATTACGGACTGACTTAAGACACTTGGTTGTTACAGATTGACTGAGCACCTGATTATAACAGGAAATTACAAAATATTTTATGAAAAGAGGTGAAATGTAAACTGTTAAGGTTTCCAGGGAGCAATAAACAGCATAAACATTTGATTAATATTCTTATATTATTTATTATCTATTAATAATATCATTATGTTGAATGTCTGTGCCATTTGTATCTTCTG